TCGGCTGGGAATCGCGGTGGTATGAGTCCGGCCCACACTCGGACCCAGGAGCCCTGCCGCTCCCGGAGAACTGGCTGCCTGGGCGCAAGGCGCTGAACCCGATATTTATATATTTCAATGCGGGCACAAGTCATGCACTGCTTTTCTTGCAGCTGCTGTCCAAGCCTTTAAAGATGCCAGACAAAATGCTACTGAAGTTAAGAACACTACAGAAGAAAATCATTCTAAGGACACATCGTATTCAGTTGATCACGAAAGTAAGGCACAGCTTGAAAGAACTAAGACCACTGAGCAGAAAGTGAAAGAAGCCAAAATACAGGCAAAGAAACTAACAAATAGTTCTAAAGAAAAATTGCCCAAGATGGAGCATGGACCCAAAGCAGTGAACGTTCCACATTCTCTGTTGAAGCTTTTAGAAAAGGAATCTGTAGCTCCCCCTGAGTCCCAGAAGACACCTGCTGACCCAAACATGAAAACATTAAGTCAAATAAATAAAAAGATAAGGTCGGATAGCTTGCTTGGTGATGACAGTGATAGCCATGAAGAATTATATGAAGAAGAAAAGGAATATTTTGATGACAGTACAGAAGAAAGGTTCTACAAACAGTCTTCCATGTCTGAGGACAGTGAGAGTGGTGATGACTTCTTCATTGGGAAGGTCAGAAAGACACGGAAGAAGGAAAGTGGTTGCCATACTTCAGCTAAGGAACAAAAACCTCTCCAACAAGTGTTACCCAGAGAAGATGTACCTGAAACCCCCTGGGGTGGGGATGTAAGAAACGACAGAAACAGGCCAAGTACAGAAGCCAGGAAGTTTGAGTCAGTGTTTTTTAACTCTTTATCTGGATCTAAAAGTTCTAGAAGGTAATTTTTCATTCTGAAATAATTATGAGTTCTTATTTTTTTTAAAGATAAGAAATAGCTACATATTTTTAGCAGGGAGGGAAGGAACTACTTCCAGTGAATAATTATGGTTTGTATCTCATCATATTGTTAGACTTTGCCTTTTCCAGCTTTATGGTGAGATAACATACGAATATACATATGGCAATGCCACATTTTCCCAAGTTCATCATAAAATGAGTTGTTATAGCCTAATGCCGGGCTAACTTGTTTTATTTCTTCAATTAACAAAGTTTTGAAACTTTGAGTTAATTTTAAAGGAAGAACTTTTCAAAACATGTCTTACATACCTATTTAAACAAACTTTCTGAAAAGAGTATGATTCTTCTGGATGATAGGACCATTGTTGCACATACCAACCATATTACTGTGTATCATTTTACTAGACAGTGCTGTTTCAGTGTCCTAACACTGACTTTCCCCAGACTTCATATTTGGTAATACTGCTGTCTTCATCCTTACTGCTAACCACCCCTTGTCAGAACGATTCTGTTATAAACCTGTAAGTTTAATACTCTACTCTGAGTGAAAGTTTCTTCATATTTTGCAGTAAATATCAGGGTTAGGTATCTCTTCAGTAACAATTGTTTTCTTCAGTAAACTGTTCTATTATGTCAGAGGTGTTCTTTCATGGAATAAGAAATGTGGTAGAGAAATTTTCTAAAGTAAGCAGAAGAAACACAAATATCTTTGGAGCCTTAACAGTAATTACAGTATTTAAGGCTCCTACTTCTGCCTTCATAGGCTATATATTTTACTAATTTGAAATTCACATACCACTATCCCTGCTAACAAAATCTTAGTCTGTGTTTTATATGTCTCATTCTCCCCAAAAGAAGACTTTTGAAATTCTTCATCTAGATTGTCCCTTAGCACAGAAACAAGACAATCAGAGGAGAACAGTTTTCAGTTATGAACAGAACTGCCTAGAAGGGTAGAGAAAGAAATAGTCCCTGTTTATCAGTTATAATATTAAAATCTAATAAATCTTTGATGTAGCTGAAAGGTAGACTTCTTTATTAATTGTTGGTGGGGTGAGGGAGTGTGGTAGTCCTGTGGATGAGTTTTGTTATTTTCCAGAATTTAGAGGATTAATTTATTTTATGTTTTAAAAACCATAATGGTGTTTTTCTGCTTTTAGAGAGCATAGAGAACAAGCTCCAAAAAGCAGAACCTCAGGTATGTATGAGTGGCTGCTGCGCACCCTGGCAAGTGAGCAACGCTTTGCCAGACTGGAAGGTTGAAACATTAGCAATGACCTAATAGTTTGGATGAATTTGTACCCACAGAGACTGGAACAACATCACGAAATTATCAGTATAATTTAAAATTTTTATTGGTTCTTTTGTTTGGTGGGACACTTTCTTAATGTCATTAAGACAGCACAGTGTATCTCGGGGGATTCAATAAACATGTTTTATAAGGTATAGAAAGCCTGTGTTCCAACATTAACTGATCGTATGTAAAATTTTAACTGCAGGCTGTTCTCTGTTGGGTTTCAGTTTTAAATTGTGAAGTATTATCTTTATAACAAAATTTCTTCCCGTAATAATTTGGGTGAACGAAATGAAATCTCTTTCTCTTTTGTGTACTATTTAGGTACAGTTTTTATTATTTTTGCTTTCTCTTTATAGATTTTCCAGAAAATGAACCTCCAATTAAGAACCACTTTAACAAGAATGCACAAAGAATGCCATTAAACATGCCTCTTCATCCTTCATGGGAAGCAAGCAGAAAGCGGAAAGAACAGCAATCTAAAATTACTGTGTTTCAGGGGAAAAAGATTACATTTGATGATTGATTAGTCCCTTTTTTGTGAACTTTCTACCTAAAATAGATTCCTTTTTTTCCCCCTAAACTATTATTTCAAATTGTATTTTTTATTCTCTTTGGAGGGCTTATAGAATGTTTGCTTTTTATTTTTTAAGTGAGTTTGTGTTATATAAGCCTTTTATAAGTTGAGTACATCCTTAAATTCACTTTTAATGGTATGCACCAAGTTACTTCTTCCATAAGAAAAGTAGGGGATGATAGCAATCTAAGCTTTTTTCACTTGGGCTTATCATGAAGTGTATTTTCCTAATTCAGCTTTGAAACATCAAGTTATAGTTAAAGTAATGATGGATACCCATAGGAAATCATAATTATTTAAAATAGGTCACCTTTGTGATAAGTTATTCTTGTTAGCAAGCCAAAACTACTAACTTTTATTCTGGGTGTACAGATAATATTATGTAGATAACTTTTTATTATAGTTTTAATTATTTGTGTTCACATTTTCACTATCCTAAAATATTTTTTCAGCACAGTGTTTGTTTCTTAATTATATCTCAGTCATTTAGGCAGATTGTTTAAATGTAGGAACACAACCAAAAGTCAGTTTTACATTTTTGTTTGCCACAAAGAAATGTGGCCACCTTTTTTTTTTGTACGGGTAATCAAACTTTGGACCTTGCATTTGCCAGGCAGGCGCTTGTGCCACTGAGCTATATCCCTGGCCTCAGTTTTATATTTTACCATATAGAAATCAAGAATATGTAATATCCAGTTATTTGACCATTTAGTCTCATAGAAGCATTTTTTTTGAATAATAGTAGATTCTAATTTGCAGAACAAATTCTAGAAGGAGGGGAATCGAAAGCCTTTTCACTGACAGCTAAGTGAGGAAGTTATGAGTTTACTCCCTGAGGAAGGGCTGCTATATATATATAGGGTACTGTTATTTAAATGGAAAAGAAGATTTTAAACTTACCTTCAAGTGTTTTGCTTTTTACTACTCTGTTATTGATTAAACGATGCTAACTAAATTCCATGTTTACTCTTTTCTGTTAGTACTAATAATGGAAGGGAAGGTCATCGGGCCAGCCTGAATATACCAATTTTCAAGAATTATCTCTATCTCTTTAAGAGTTTAAAAATTTAGATAACTAGGTCAATGGAGTTGAAGAAATTATGCAGAAAGAAAATTGTTGAGTGTAATTGTTGTACTTTTTGTTTTACATTTTTATTTTCATATAATTTCTCAGTGACAAAAACTGATGTTCCTGTACTCACTCAAACTTTGTCAAACTGTAGGTTTGAGAGCGCTATGTCTGTACTGCCAGGTCTGCCCAAGACTTCTTGCCCAACCCAAAGAATTAAGAAGTGCTACATTTGTTGGTTGCTAGATTTGGTTACATAGGAAGTACTGCTGGCTTTGTTCAGGGTTGCAGTAAGTTACTTAGACTCAGATCTTTCCTTTTGTGTGCCTCTTTAGAATGGATCTAGAACAGCCATTCATCTAGGGCCCTGGTTCTCACCTGGCAGTTTTGCCCCATAGGGCACATTTGGAGATAAAGGAGCAGAGGACTGGAGAGGAGGTGCTGTATCCCGCAGATAGAGGTCAGGCATGCTGCTGACCTTCTTCAGTTCCTAAACAGTTCAAGCCCAAAATACCTAACAGTGCTGAGGTTGAGAAATCCTGGTCTGAGGCTCGTTTGGCCCCATTTACTGAGCTGTTACCTTTCTGATAACTGTACCCGTTACTTCCTCTGTTAGGAAATTCTGTCATGGCAAAGAAGATCATAATCTACATCTAGAATATGCAGTTAATCTCAGAATTGATACCTGATCTGATTGATATCTCTTCAAAAGAGATGTCAAATATCCAAGTTTAATATTTGTGTAGAGTTTTTTTTTTAAATGGGAAATATGGCCCTAAAAATATGTGGACTTCAAAAAACAAACAAAAAGTATGTGAGCTTTACCTGTAATATTAACAGCAGAAATGGCAAAATGAAAATATCTGAAAACTTTTCTCTGTAAAAGCAGTTATAATACTCTCCAAACTGTTAGAATCAACCTTTTTTGAGAACTCTGTAATAATCCAAGGTTTACAGCAATCTGAGGAATATTTATTCAAGAAAAATGTCCAAATCTTGATACAGGTAATAATTGTTACCACAATGTCACTTGCCCTGTTCGCAGCTCCTACTCTCCAGATCTGTGGCAGTCTTGAAAACCAGCAGCCTCACAGTCGCTGGAGGGAGCAAAACAGGTCTGGGCATCTTCAGAGACACACACTGGAAGAATTACTGTCATTTAACCTATCTGGTTGTACACAGCCACTTGTGAAGCTGTCTTCATTTGATGTGAGTCAGCCTTGCTTAGTGTGAAGATAGCTTCTCAGAAACAGTCGGACAAGGCTACTGCAGGCAGTGGGTAACTACCGAGGTCAACCATAAGTTAACCAATAAGCTTAAAAGGAAACCTGGAAAATTTAATATAAATAAAGAACTTGAAAAGTTCTGGCATATTTGTTGGAATCAGATTTAACAACGCTCTGCACCTGCTCAAGAAAGACCCGAGACTAAACTCACCACCTGCTGAGTTTGAGCCCCTGCACAAACAATAAGTGAAAGATAAAGGGGTGTTGTACCAACAGAGGGGTCTCATGTGGTCCAGAACTGTGACTCAACTGTGTGTCCAAAAAATTAAAAATATGTTCACATTACAACTTGAATATGAATGTGCATAGTATAAGTAGTAAACAATCCAGATGTCCAAATCTGGTTATTTTTATGCTTATATGTTTTAATGTCCTTTATTTTTAATTTAGAATCTCTTTTAGCCATCTTTAATGAAATCCTTTTATCTTTCTTTTGTTGCCTAAATGCCAATTAATGAGTTTTTCTACTTTCCTCTGTTTTCCTTCTCTTAGCTTTAGTTGTTACTTTTACATTATTAGAATATATAACACATAGCAGTGTTACTGTGTTACACATTATTCTTTTACCTGTCTCAGTTTTAATCTTAGATTTTCAATTAAGTATATTAAATGCGAAATTTCTAAAGTTTGCTCAGTCTTTTGATTAAGTTTTTTTCTAACAGATTACTCAAAAAAATCTCATGGAAAGAATGTTCTGAGCTCTTATTCTTTAACATTGTTTCTGGGGTTTATGCTTATAGAACTGTGGCTAGATCCAGTGACTGGTCTCAGTGATCTTACTGCGCTTATGGCTGCAAACCCTTCCTTGTTGGTGAATCCTTTTGTCCTTTTGAGGTTTTGTTTATTTGTTTGTTGTGTATCAGTTTTTTTATGTTTGCAGTACATGCAGTTCGCAGTCATGTTGGGGAGTGGGTGTATGTACACAATAGAGCTTGTTTCTTTTTTAATCCCCTCCTTTTCAACCCCTTGTCCTCTTCTAAATCCTCTTTCCCCACTTCATTCTTGTTGATACTGTTAGTCTTACCTCATACTTATGACATAATGTTTACATTCTTGAGGTTATTAGGTTTCTGTACATGGCATAACCTTATTCTACTTCTCCCCTTGCCCTTATGTGTTACTTTATAATCATGGAAATGTTCCTAGACCCTTTCTGGTTATCTGTTTGTCTCACCCAATATTTAATTTATAACTAGTAGCCTGACTTACCCATAAATCTTTTCCCTCTAAATTTTCTTAGCCATTCTTACACCTGACCCTATCACATTTTACTTCAAAATTATGTTGGGGTGCTATCTTTGATTACTCTTAAAACTTATTTATAACCTGGGAAGTATTTTTTTAAGTGTGTTCTCTCTATTGTTCTCTAATTAGTTATATAGAAAAATTGGGTCTGCTTCTATGAAATGTAGAACAGTGTTTACAGGAACATATTCAATAGCCTACGGATGATATCACCCTAAAGATATTAAGTAGTCTTACACTGAATACTGGAATGTTGTTTGTACTTTGAACATGTGTTTCTCTTCAAGAGGAAACTTGTTTTGAAAGAAAATCATTCTCCATGTTGTTTTCAGGATAAAATTAAAAGGATGTTTTTCAGTAAAGCCAGCCAAAACTTGGAGGGTTGATGAAGGGAGGAGAGTTATTTGTATTTATTTTTAAACTAAACATGGTATAAATACTCAGTAGTTAGTTTAGCTCTGTCATGAGCCGAAGTTCATAACTTTCACATATACTACCAATAAACAGGTTAGCTCATGTCTGAAATATGTGTGAATTAGTTGTTTTTTTAAAATTACACATACTAACTGATAAAGGAAAGGTTAAGTATCCTTAATACTGTTAAGGATTTATAACCAATATAATTGCAACATTAATACACCTAGAATTTACTTTTTTGGATATTGGAATTTATTTTGTATATTTTAATAACTTAGGTCTCCCTCCCTGAATGATGCAGGTCTCTGATCAAAGACCTGTTCCCTTTACTTTTCTTCTATGATATTAGCTTACTTTTTAAATTTACATTGTCAGCCTCCTTCATCTAAAATACAAGCTTTGGAAGTGCAAGAAATTTGTTTTCTTCTCTGTCATGTCCCAATTTTGAACAGTACATGTTACATAGTAGATATTCAGTTAAATATTTTTCTTGTTGAACGTTCCACAGATATTTGGATAGTCATGTGTCTATACAAGTGCTTCCAGTTTATCGGTGAGTTATATGGTTGAATGGATATAGCTATCACTTAGGTGGCTACTGGAATGATCCAGCTGAGAAGTGAGATGCCTTGGACTTGGATATTAACAGTTGACAATGAGAATAGGAGAGGAGGTAATAGATGTTTTGTCTTAAAGAAGAAGGTATGAGTTAGTCCTTTAGGAAAAATAGACTAATTAAGATAAGAAAGCAGTATGATTACTGGACAGCATTGGAAACCATTTGAGATTTACTGTCAGTAATTTACAGAGAAAGCATTCAGTGTATCATTTATATTTTATTCATCTGACCTTTTTAAATTTATTTCAGGTTTTGTTTTTATTTAAATTGGTTTGTAGGAGTGTTTCATATGTTAGAGGAATTAGCCTTCTATTTTGAAAGAATTTGAAAGAATTTCCATTTTGTCATTTGTCTTTTGACTTTTATTTTTGTTCCAAACACTGTATTTTATTTTGTCATGTTACAAATGGTATTTGATCTTTTACTCCCTACCTGGTTATTATTGTTAGTGTATTTGAGGGCTATGAGCTTCTGTATGTTGACTATTTGCTGCTTTTAATTACTGCTCTTGCATTTTTCTAGGTTCAGTATTTTGTCATTTAAAAATATTAAAAATTTACCTGTTCCTTTCTTATTTTTATAACTCCCTTGCCTAATTCAAATCCCTAGTACCACATAAAATACTTGGTAAAGCATAAAATGATAGCATATAAGTAGACTTTCTTGTCTGTTTGTGATGAGAATGCTTTCACTGAAGTAGAAATGTACTCTTAGGTTTAAACAGATATGTTTGTGATTTTAAGACATTTCTTTATTGAAGTATATTTTTTAAAGTCAATAATTAATAGCAAGTTTTATTAAATGCTTTTTAAGCATCTATAACAGCAGCTATGTGCTTTTTTTTCTTAAGATTTAATGAAATAACTCAAAAATCCATGCTTGGTACATTTTGACTACTTTGCCTATTTTTTTCTATATTAATTTATCTGCCTACATTGTCATTTGAACTCAATTACTTTTTTCTTAAAGGGTAACTATTTCATATGTTACATACTTTATATGCTAAATAATATGGTCTCTTCCAAAATTGTATCTGCATATTGGAGTAATTTTACTTTTTTCTTATTTTTCATATTGTAATATTTTTTCTAGATGACTTAGCAGTTTGCTTCAGTGAAGTATGTGTTTTTTCTTCGGTGGTCTTTCAGCAGTATCCTGTACAGTGTGATAACACTGATTTCTAGGCTATTTTGCTCTTCTCATACCTTTTTTAAATTTATACTTCTGATATTTTTCCAATTTTTCTTCTCTGCTATTTTGTAATTTCCTTTGATAATTTCACAATTACCCTTTATATTTTAAATTATAGATTTTCTTAAAATCTAAGTCTCTCTTGCAATATTATAGAACAGTAGCTATGATATGTAAACAAACAAGTATGGCTATGTTTCAGTAAGTTTACCAACAGACAGGTGGAGGGCCTGATTTGACCTGTGCTGTGTATTTATTAATCCTTTCTTTAGATAATATCCATTTACTGACTTTTCTGAGTAAT